GAAAAAAGTTTACATTCTCATTCACAGGATTTTTTTTTTTTCCTTTTAAAACACAGATGATAGAGCTATTACAGGAACATAAGCACTGGTGATTTCATGGAAAGATGCATTTTCTCATAACCATTTATTGTTAACACACACACACAAAAAAAAAAAAAATCCCTAAGGTTTCACTTTTAGTTTATGTTGCCCTTAAAGAAAATCTTGGGATCCCTCAATGAAACTAATGAGTTAGCAAAGCCACAGGAGGACAAAAAACAAAACAAAAAAAACCAAAAACAAAACTTTGGCACATGGACAGAAATCCCTGGGATATCTAGCCAAGCCAAGCGATTGGCTTTTGTGGTCACTTCAAATATATAAAGAAATTACAGAAATACAGCTCATGATGATATGTGTAGATGGTTTTGTACAAACAGGGGTAAGAAGACATTTTCGTACAATACTAAGAGGATACGGCCTACAAAAAAAAAAAAAAAAAAGTGCAACATCCTAATGATATAAAAGATAAACCACCTTTCTGTCTCGCAGAACTTGCCAGCCTTACACAATCACGCTTTCCCTTCCTCAGCTCCCTCCAATCTTTTAATAATCTGTTCCATCATCTTGGTACACCTGCTCCTCTTCCTGGTAGCCTTGGTAGCCCTCGTCTTGGTAATCTGGGATGTAGTCACGGGCGACACCAGCTCCATTTTCATCACCTGGAATCTCAGTGGCTTTGGGACAGTACTTGGCATCGTAGATCTGCCGTCCCAAGCCAAAGTTCTGCCCGCTCTGGTTAGCCCCTTCTCTGTATCCCATCTGTAGAGACATGGTGCTGTTGTCACACTTCTCTGTGCCCAGCTTCTGGTCGTAAATGGCACGCCTCGTTCCTGGAGCCGTCATCCCAGCCTTAAGTGGAGACAGGAAAAGGAAAACTGTCAGATTTTGTGGAATTCTCCCCAGCATCCCCTCCCCCCCCCCCTCCTCCTGCTTGGCAAACACGAGACTGGCCCCAGACATTTGGCCACTGGGTTAAAGAATACATGTCATTCATTTAGAAAAGATCAGCAACACATTAGAGGATCTGTTGGGGAGGTCCAAATGCTACCCAGCAACCATTTATTTCCACTAACAGCAGCTGCCATGGTTTCAACAAACACAGAGCCATAATGTCATTAATGTACTCACTGTAACAAAATTACCATTTTTATAAACTGAGAATATACGTTGATGTCAAGCTATCCTTAATCTAGTATTCTGCTGATGTGTTCAAATTGTTTCCTTAGTCTGTGTTGTAATTTGTTATGGCAAAAAATATAACAAAAGACTTTGCTCAGACAGAGACTGAGCTTTGCCTTTTAGATAATACAGACGTTTACAGCTTTCTACAAGACCAAACATGACTGTAGTTTACAGCAGGCAAAGCACGCCAAGGACAAGCCATAACCAGTGTCCTGAAGCTTATTTCTGCTGCAGTCCTTTAAGAATGCATACCTGACTCGCCCCTTTGTTTGTTCCCATCTGCAGACTGATGGTGGTGTTGTCCATGGGGGCCTGGACTGGAGCCTTGGGATCATATAAATGTCTCCTGGTGCCATATGCACTCATACCTGCCTGACTGGCACACTTATTGGTCCCCATCTGAAAAAAAATAGAACAATCACAGTCATACAAGATCAATAAAGAGTTTGTGTAAACTGTTGCACAACATCACTGCATTTCTCACATTTTATTGTTTTGAGCAAGTGTGGGACTGTTGATACTGGAGCAACACTAACCAAACGTGTTTTTAAAAAGTTTTGACTAAGCTGTTCCTCATATTTGCACCGCTCTCAAATTGCAGTCAAGGTATTTCTTCACTGCTTGAGAAGTGCTTTTGTTTACTTGATACCCTTCCAGGTAATGGAGGGGGAAGGAAAGAAAAGAAAGCAGGTAGGTTTGAAGCATCAGTGACAATGTGCAGCTCTCGCACAGAAGAACGCTACTCAACATGAGATCATCATGACAAAGCCTTCTTTCACAACAGTTTCGCCACTTGCAGCAGTGAGTTCAGCTTTGCGAGCACGTAGCCCGCTTGTCAAAACGCAGCCAGAATGATCAGATCATTTAAATAAAAAAAAATAAATAAAAAAAAATGAAAATATTAAAAAAAATAAATTTCTTATTTCTAATTTTTTGATCTTTATATTTCAGGAAAAAAAAAGAATCAAGTTTAGTCCCTTGTCTGCATTTCCTTTGAAAGCCCTGGCCCTGAGTTTCACTCTGCGAGCATCAGTCCTGTGATATTACTGACACTGAAAACTGTACCTGTAGGCCAATGACACACTGTCCAGCCTTCATCTTCTCATCGTCAAACATCCTCTGCTGCTTGTCCGCATACTTCACGCCAATGTCAACCCGCGACTGGCAGCCCTTGGTCTTGGCCTGAGAGAAAAGGCGGTGTAGAAGAGTTCTCATTAAACTGCGATCATTCCCCACAAAAAACTACCACTACCGTTTGTGATGTGACGTTTTTAGAGACTCACCATGCTGGCGAGGGCGAGCAGAGTCGTCTGGACCTGCGTCATGTTGCCATTCTCAAACAGATCATTGGCCTCGAAGATATCATGGGGCTTCAAGCCGTACACTGTGAGAGCTTTGATGAAGTTTGTCAGGTTCTCCAGCTAAAGCCGCACCAAAGTAAACAAGAGCGACAGGTTTTAAGCTGAAGCCGGGCGATTATTTCTCTGCCTGTATCCTCTCATTAACAAGTTGCAGTCAAATATTTTTATAAGCACTAACTATTAAGAAACCAGTTTCAGATAAAAGCAGAAGCAACACTGCTAATGTCCAAGTATAGCCATGAGTGTGATTCAGTGCACTGACATCCTCAGCACAATGCAGGGAAGAGGCAAGTTGTCAATGAAGTGCTCCTGCTCACAAGTCTGCCGCGCCCTCAATTAGCTAAAATAAGTGTCAGACAAACTCACCTGGTGCCAGTTCAGTGCTGACTGGTTGATCTTTCTCACAGAGCCTGGCTGCAGTCTGTTAATAAGTCTGCAAAGTAGAGAAAGAACGGGGAAGAAAGAAAGTGAGCTTTCCAGATCTGTGTGCATATTAAAAACAGATGATCGAGGCCCTGGTGGTTTAGCGTGACAAAACTTTGATGTAGGCTCTGCTTACTCGCACAGGAGGACTCCGTTTTTCAGGCCTTTCTGGAAGTCGGGGCCGATGGAACTGCCGGTGATGTCTTCGATCCAGATCCTGAGCTCCTCTTCCTTCTGAGGGTCGTACTTCTGTGCAATCTAGTTGGTAACAAAGGTCAGAGGTCACATGTGTGTTCTGCAACCAAGTGGGTGGCTCTTTTGAAGAACAGTAGATGCAGTCACACCAGCTTATTTTGTCAGCAGGGGAATAGCTCGCCCTGCCCTCAATGACCTCCCACTTCAACACTCTTAAGATATAAGAATTCTATTTTTCTCCAGCTGCTGATAACGGAGCCGCGCAAACACCGAGGAGATGATAACCAAAACACACAACACGAAGATTTCAGTTTTAGTTGTTGTTCGTTTTAAAAGGTTTATTGTGACTGCATGAGGCCAGGCTTCATGGTCATCCCCACATTTTCACTTTGACCGACTCCTACAGACAGAGTTGGTCAGATTTCATTCTCATAAATGGTGACTCCACCATGGCCCGACACACACACCCCCACAGAAACACACACGGATATCCTGTTTGGTAAACTGTAACAAAGTCACCGGAGGCACAGGAAGGGAGCTGCTGTAGAAAGAACAGGGAGCGTCAGTTTTTAAGGGGCTTAACGTGGTCTGCTGAGGGCGTCACGGTCGAGGCGTTACTCTGATTTAAAAGCTTTAGCGACGGATGCAGAGCATGAGAAAGAGGCCATTCAGGAGGAGAATCGGGGTCACGTAAACAAACAGCAGTTTCATGAGCTGAATCTGAAAGGCGGACAAATGGAGAAAAGTGACCTAAGAGTTAAACAGGTCAGCTTTTCTCCTCCTCCAGTGAAAGAGAAGAAGAAGAAGAAGAAGAAGAAGAAGAAGAAGAAGAAGAAAAAAAAAAAGGTTCTGCGTGCAAACTCACAACCAGCCAACAATTTTTCCTTGTCCCCGAAGGCAATGGGAAACTAAACCGCAAAAGTAACCTTCTATTTACATAGAAGCAGGCCGCACACAGCTCACAGCTGGCTGCGCTCTTCAGGAATGCCTGTCTTCTAATTAAATTCTCTTCATCCAGTTATCCGCATATTAAAAGACAACACTGGCCGTTTTAATTGCCCGCAAGGAATCCGACACAGATGTAATTTCCAGCGACAAGCTGAACGCGAGGAATTCAGCCCGCAGTGCTGGGATAAAGGGAGCTGAATGAAGCGAGAAGGGCGCCGGATTGTGTCTGTGTGCCGAGCCGATGAATGAATGTGCACTGAGATAAATAAATAAATAAAACAGTTATTGCGGTGTATCAGTGTGAGTTTGGGGATTACTCTTACAAGCAAAGACTGTGTTTATCAGTTTGTAAGGAGGGGGGGGTGGAATTTAAAAGCCTTAAATGCCTCACATTTTAAGGGTGAGCTACGTCACTGACGGCAGGAAATACCACTCTTTAGTACACCCCCCCCCCCTCTCTCTCCCCCCTTCTTCAAGGACGCCTGTGGTAATGGACAGAGGAAATCTGCATGCTTTCTTTACGTCAGCCACATGTTGTTCTGTGGAGATCTGGGGAGGGGATACGACCCTCTCTTTCTCCCTCTCCCCCACACAAGGGTACATCCAAAGAATGCAGAAGGGGAGGGGGATGAGGTGGAGGTAAGTTAAAGTGCCCTTATATGCGGGTGTCAAGAGAATGAACAGAAGGCTAAGGACAGATCAGCTGTAACACTTGTGTGAGAAAAATAATATATAGAGTAACGAAGTTAGAAGCAGTCTGCTTCCCAATAACAACGAAATGGAGAGTAAGTCACATTTAAAGTACTTAAAAAAAAAGGGGGGGGAGGAAAGTTGGCGAAAAGTGATGTGCCAACGTGATCGGGCTTGTCACCTCTGAGGTTTTAACTCGATCCGGCTGTGTCCAAATAAACGAGCTGTTTTCCCCATGAAGGTCCCAATCAATAAAGTTACACATTACCCAGAACTTGCGGAGGGGGTGTCAGTCAACACCTTGATTTTTCACAGAGTGAGTGGCTGAGGAGGAGAGAGGCTTTGTCCCTGCACTGATCTGGCACGGTGTGGAGAGCAAAGTTAAAGCACGAAGAGCGGCGCTACACCTTACCGCAGGAGGGGAAGTGGGGAAACTATTCTTGCAGAAACCACGAGAAAACAGAGAAGCAATGAGAACAGTGGCATCCAATCCGAGGGCTAACAGGTCAATTACATTATCTACTAATGCAGGTCACAATGCAGGGCAGAGAGCTGCACGGGCGGCGGAAAATGCTGGAAACGGGGGTAACTTTTTTTTTTTTTTTTTTTGCCACAACGACATGCTTGTTTGCCAAGCGGGACAACGCCCATAGTGCGATTTTAAGTTAAGTCTCCTGCACGAGGAGAGGGACTAAGGAGGTCCAAGGTGTCTAACTAGACCACAACTTCTTTCTTTGCAAACTATTCACACTCGACCAGTTTAATTATTCATTTATTTATTCATTTTCCGACTTATATGTATAAAATATTGTTTTAAATATTTTTTATTGAAACTCCATTTTTACCCCCGCTGATTACCTTTTAACCTGAGCGCCATATTAAAATGGAGGCCAGGTGATTCTCGCGTTAAGAGAGAAGCGCAATGAAGAAGGCGAGAAAAGTTCAATGCGACTTAACTTTATATCGGAGAGAAAAGTATGGCCACCTACCTTGTTTTTCACTTCTGCGGATAACCCATAAGCCGGACCTTTGTTAAAGGAAGACATTTTCAAAGTGTTGAGATTTTTCCTTTGAGAGTGGCAAACAATAATAAAAGAAAGAGACTCCGACTTGAGGATAAAAACTGCGCTAAAATATCTTCGAGTTTGTCTTCCAATGAAACCTCGGAGTGAACTAAATACTTCCTTTCTCTTTTACGGCCGCCAATTAGAGCGCTCCCACGGTTTCTGTCAAAGAGTCTTGATTCACAAATCAAGATAGTTCACCTCTGAACGGTCCGTACCGGAAAGGACCCTCCGACGTTTCTAGGTGTTTTTTGTTTTTTTTGTTTGTTTTGTTTTTTTTTAAATTGCTAGCTGAAAAGAGTGATTATTGAATATTTAGCACAATTTCATACAGGTGAAGAAGGAGTTCAGTTTCATGTGCTCTTGGTTACGTAACACAATCGTATTTTTTGTTTATCTTGTTTTTATTTTATCTGTTTTGTTGTTTGTATCTGCATCTGTCTGGGTTAGCCGGCGTTAAGTTGCTTGAGCTTGCAGAAACTTTTAGGATTTTAGCATTTTTTGTGTGTGTGCACTGGAGAATATAATTCACTGAAAGCATGAACCAGGTAACTAAATACATTAAATGTGGGGGGTTAACTTTGGATTTCCAGTTTCATTTCGTTGTTCTTATCTTGCAAAGTGGCTTTACATATTTTAGTCTAGCTCAGATTCTCTAAACGCGATCAGGTTTCAGTTTCATTTTTCATTAGCTGTGCTGTTAGTTTTAGTTTCTTTCATGGCTGCTGTTTTCACGTGTGATATTTGGAATAAATATAATAATAAAACCCTTTACTCAAAGTCAGGTACATGTCCAAATCTCAGTAAACATATGCACCAAATACTCTTCAAGCTGGTTAAGCCAACAAATTTGGCCAGGCTGACAAAGATTGAAACTGAAGATATTTCCTGTATACTTTTTTTTTTTTTTTTTAACTTTAGTTTTGCGAGTTTACAGCATTGTTTCAGTTCACTTTTTATTTATTTTACTGTATCTCATACCCGAAACCAGTGTAGTCTTTTTTAAAATCTTGGTCACCTTGTATGCATATCAGATTTTTTTTCTATGTAAATAGACATTTTATAAGCATGTATCCTACACTTAGAAACTGTTTTATGTGGCTGTTATAATTATTGTATTTATTATAAATTTGTATTTTTTTTTAAGTTTCTTGTAATGCTCTTAAGATAGATAATCCTTATAACAGAAACATCTATCGATTATGTTACACTCATCCAGTTGAGGGTCGTGGGGACTGAAGTCTGTCATGACTGTCGTGGGGTGAGAGGCAGGGTACAACCGGAAAAGACCGTGATATGTGGCATGGGTTGAAGCTAGAGTACCCAAAGAAAACCCACAAAGAAAAGGAAGCTCCACACAAAAAGGCCCCAGACTGTATTTGAACGCAGGACCGTCTTGCTATGAAGTGACAGTGCCAACTGCATGAAAGTTTTCAACTAATATGTAAAAACGACCCATTAGATAAAGAGCACATATATAAATAATTAAGCAATGCATGTCATGAGTTTAGAAAATTACATACTAAATGTATTTTTAGGCCTTCATTCAAAACGCACTACTGCACTACTCAGTAAAAAAATATTTAAGCAAAAAGCGAGAGCGGTGACTTCTCTTGATAGTCCTGTATACTCTTCGTTCCACGCTTCGTTAATCGATCCTAAGCTCCACCTTTCCCCTGCTCTTCCTTAGGTCGCGATTTATATCAAAAACTCCTTATATGGAAGGAAACTTCCCAAATTCCTGAATAGTGGGAGTGAACCTCTGGTCCCACCCTGCATACCAGACGTGGAGAGAGGACGAGACAAGTTGTCGCACTTTTTTGAGTCACGGTCAGGGGGGAGAAAAAGTTATTTGGGAATGAGCTACTGGGCTGACGTAATGTCGGTGGAGTGAGGTTTTCAGATAACAAAACTTCTCCTGGCATGTCAGCATGTGTAAGAGTCCAGGATGCTATGTAAGACGTATCTAAGACAATGTATTAGTGGCGCATAGTATAATTTAAGCTGGCAGTGAGCTGACAGGTCAGGGGGGTTCTTTCTTTATCTTATTTCGACAAAAAAATACCCACAGAGCAGAACAGAAACTCCTCTGAGTCTTTCTGGGAAATAGATGAGCTTTAAGAGAAGCAGAGAGAAAACGTATTTTAATAATAATAATAATAATGGATTGCATTTATATAGCGCTTTACGGGGCCCTCAAAGCGCTTTACAATTCCACTATTCATTCACTCTCACATTCACACACTGGTGGAGGCAGCTACAGTATTTTACTGTACAATAGGCTGCTTTATGACAGTGGTACATCAGATTAGTATGACTTCATGTGACACCGACGGTTCCTCCCGACATGAACACATGCTGGAGCCCATCAGTGTTACTACCTGTACTCATCGGATACATCTTTCTTTCTTCTTCAGCTGATGTCTTTGACAGCCCCTTGAAAAGTTTGTCCAACATATACTGTAATAAATATTGTAAAAGTATTTTTAAGTTTTGAAATCTGTCCCACTGACTGGGGACAATCTCACTGACGCTATTCTCCATCTTTCCCGACTATCCATCCAGTATCAAACTACTTCCTTTCAGCGAGTGGGAAGAAAAAACTCCCTTTTAACAGCAAGAAAGCTCCAGCAGAACAAGGCTCAGAGAGGGGCAGCCAACTGCTGCAACGGTGAGGGCAGGGAGACAGGACAAATGACACACTGTGGAAGAGAGCATTGATTTATGAGTGTGAATTTTCGGCCCAGGGACCCAAATTAATCCCCCAAAGCTTTACTCTTGTGAAAATTGCAGTTACATAATTAATACCTGACCACCACCAGTAGGCAACGGGTGAAGTGTCTTGCCCAAGGACACAACGACCAAGACTGTCCAAGCCAGGGCTCGAACCGGCAACCTTCCGATTATAAGGCGAACTCCCAACTCCTGAGCCACGATCACCCCAAATGCCATTTATTTAGATGTTTGATGAGACAAGTTTCTTCCAGTCCATTATATTTTATATAGTTCCCATTTTCAGAGGCTCAAACGTAATTGGACGTTTGACTGAAAACTTTCAGGCCAGGCCTTTTTTTCTCACAGCAAATTGAACAGATAAAAGATCTGGAGTTGATTTCAAGTGTTGATCTTTCATTTTGCACGCCTGAAAAACTCAACAAACCAGTCAGAGATAGCAGAGACTTTAGGAGAGGCCAAATAAACAGAGTCCTTAAAAAGAAAGAATTCATTGTCAGAAAGACCACAGGAGACATCTAAAGTGCATGATAAGATAATTATTTCCGTGGTTAAAAAAAAACCCCACTACATGTGAATGCACAGGGTGCAAACGCCTGGTTACACTCAAGAACAGGGAGGACTTTGCCCAAAAAAGCCTTCACCGTTGTTTGGATTCACCTTTTATGATGGATGAAGTATGGAGAAAGAAAGAACAGCCCATGATCCAAAGTACACCATGTGTTAAACAGGGTGCAAATATGTCTGCCAATGGAAGTGGCTTGCTAGTGTGTACTGATGATTTGACTGTTGATAGCAGTAGCAGGGTGAAATGTACAGGGCTATAGTCTCAGTTGCAAAACTGTTTAGGCACCACTTTACAGTGCGAACGGATAAGCCGAGGAAATAGGATAGTCTTCGATGTTCAACAGTGCGTGCTTTCAGGTAGCACAAAACTGAATGCAGAGACCCACAAACATGCTACAACTGAAGGCGGTTGGATTAAAAGCAGTAATGAACATCTCTGGGGAGGAAACATAAGATTTGGTGATATCCAGGGCTTCCAAACTAGTTTCAGCCACATATTAAAAACTATCCTGATATTTAAAATTATTTATTTGTCCAATTAATTTTGAAGCTGAGAAATTTGGGGGGAGGGTATAAAAATGGCTATAACTCTACAACATTTAATGCAAAATTGTTCTCAAATCCAAGCTGAAACTATCCTGTTTTAACCTGAGCAGAAGAAAGCCCCATAAAATATCAGTGATCTAAGCCCAGGTGTATCTCTTCAGTGTCTGAGCATCCTCCTGGTCATAAATACAGCTGGATTTCTTTGTACATGTAACAGATGATACCGTCATACAGGTGTGCGGCAGGCTGATTCAGTGCGAGGGTAAACGCACCAGAGGGCACTTACTCATCCTGCTGTCTTATGCGATTACATCAGCTGACTGAGTCATAGGAGGAGTGACGTAGGCAAAACATTCTTTAGCTTATTGAACATGTTGCAACCCAAAGGCAATCAGAATTACGAGTAGGTGCAGAATAACTGTTGCTTTACTACATATATGGCTAGTTTAAAAGGGTGGGATTATACTTTTAGACTAGTAAAATTTACAGTTTAATAACAGAGGACCTTTTGTAGCGTGGGCCCAGTAAAATCATAAGAATTATTGATGAATTTGAACCGATATTACTCTCATCATTTTACATCTCTGGTGCAGACAAAGAACACACATGGACAATGTGCACCCCCACATGGACAACATGTGTAAATGCACATAAAGTCCACCTTCAAACAAAAGGCACAGTTTAGATTAACTACTTCTTTTTCTCCCCAATGCACGAAACCATAAAAGACCTGACGGCAGCCAAGATTTAGATCTTTTTATTTTTCAAACAACTGAGAGATGTTAAACACTGAACAAATAAAGATGCCCCGTCAAAACTCCAGAAAAAAACAGATTCTTTTCAACCAGTTGTAGCACTTTTCCATTATTGCCAGTGGTGTTGTTGATGACGACGTGCAGTTTCTCGTTGTCTGCAGCTTCACCCCCCCTCACTAGATCAGCGCGTAGAAAAAGTAACAGAAAACGGTGCATATACCAGCGTCAGATTGATCGTGGGGATTTGGGATTCTTACGTACAAATCCAGCTCCAGGCAGGTGTGTTTTAGGCGGAAGCAAATCCAGATTTACCGTTTTGTTTTTAAACCAAGGCACATTGGTAGGTAGGAATGGATGACCAAAAAGAATGAATGGACAGAGAGGCTGCACAGAAGCCAATCTTCATTTAAATCATGTGAGGATGGTGGTAGCGACCAAAAAGGGAGTCGAACTGAAGTACTGTCACATGGAAAACGGCAAGAACATCGGATGCGCACAGCTCGCTCTGTATTTCTCTCTTAACCCTGGAGACCCCATGGTTTCCCTAGAAAACCAATGGGGTCGGCTCTGACCCCATGGGTTCTCCAGGGTTAAATGTTTGAATCACTGTTTTGAATGGGAGCAAAAGAAGTGCCACCCTCATTCTGCAACTTAAATGATTTCTAAAGCCTGGAAAAAGCAGCTTCGAGAGCCGTAAATGTGTCTGAAATTCGTATTAATCTATGGGCACATTGTGGGAGAATCAGTCAGTTCACACTCGAATGAATGAATCAGTAAAGAAAATGACCAACAAGTCGTCAACTTATGTACAAGTGCATAAGAGGTCTCAATTCTGTACATTCACTAAGGCGGTATAAACTCAGAGAAAAGAATATATTAGCAAGGAATTTCAGAAGGCAAACGATATCTAAAGAAACAGAAAAAGTTCCAGCATTCAAACATGTCCTTGCTTTTGTCATTGAACAACACCAGCAGCTGGGACATTCTTTAATATTTCGGAGAGAATTAGTGGATGGAAACATTTGACTGCACTATTTTTTTTTCCTTTTTGCATTAGCACCACACTACTTTAAAACGGTTACATCTCCAGAAGAATCTTCATGACCTGGATCCTTTAAGGAGCCGAGCTGATGAGACAGAGAGAGCGGAAGTTGGTTGGAGGGTGGAGTCTGGAATGTAAATAACCAAAACACATCCGCACTGGCCAATCTTAAAGAAAGGACAGCACGTGGGCTTCCTTTAACATTTAAGATTCAGCTGAGAGCACAGTGATGCAAACAGAAGAGAAAACAAAAAGAATCTATAGTTGTTGTTATCGTCTTTTCTTTAACATTTGTTTTGATGAACATCCCGTAAATGAACTGGTCAAAAATAAATAGATGTATATATGATAAGAAGTTTATAATTTACTCTTTTATATCTCACATAAAGCTTCTTGTAACTGCCAAATATGTTCCAGTAACTTCAAACCCTGGACATGTTCGGCTCTAACTGTGCTAGATGAACTCTTATCAACATCTTTCTGGGCACCAACATGGTGGTCTGTGCAGGACAGCTAAACCCCAGCCTTCCCTCAGGTTTAACCCTAGTTCAAAACTTCTTGTTAGAAACTAAACAGGTTAAAAAAAAAGAAACAGCATCATCCCAGTGTGCCTCAAAGAGGGGTACAATTCATAATGTTTAAAAAAAGAAAAACCTCACATTGTTACACCTATTTGGGTGATCTGGGATAATTCTGTCTTCTTTTTTTGCCTTTATGGTTAGCAGCAGTACTCTGCAATACGGGCCTCATTCCTGTGGCTTTCAGTTTGAAAAATAAAACAGAAACAGCCCTTGATATTACAAACTCAACTAGTCTTTTAATCTTTACACTTCTTTTATACCAAAATCTTAATAGATTATCACAGAAAGAGGAAGAGGCGTGGGGGAGTGGAGTTTGGCAGGCCTGATTTTTGCCAAACTCACAGTGAACAAAAACAAAAAAAATTAAATCACAAAGTATCTCGTCTCTGTGGCGAGATGAGGAAAGGAGTGGAAAAGTACTGCAACCTTCCCGTACCCCCTCAGTCTAGGCAAACGTATGGCAGGATGTTCAATTTGCTTTCATCCCCGTGAGGGTCCAGTGATATGCAATCTGTCCAATCGTACCAGGTGCCCTTGGTGTCACAAACGCCATTCACCCCCTGCCAGTGCTGTGTGTGTATCCTGTCCAAGTCCTCATCTGTCACGTCCCGGCTCACGCCCGGTAAATCCTCTGTCAAATTGTCCGTTTGGAGAACGTGCATCTTCCGCGACTCCTTAATTTCCTGTTCTTCCCTTTTCAGATATTCCGACATGAAAAAGTGTGCACTAGGGGCCTGAACCCCCGAGGAGTTGAGGACATTGCTCTGAAGGTTCAAGTAGGACTGGATGATTTCATTTCTAGACAGCTCCTTCCAGTTTGTGTGGTGGAAGGGGTTAGGGCTAGGACCTGGGACTGTGGCGGTGGCAGCGCACTGTTGTACAGTGCTTTCAGTTCTCTGCCTAGACTCAGCGGGGTCAGGAGTGGGTGCTTCATCTGTTTGAGAAGGTTCTTTATGCACCAGAGGTTTAATCTGACCTGTGACCGGGTCAAACGTTAATCTGCGTTCTTTTAAACGAACGGGTTTAGTGGTGTCCTCCATTTTCTGGCCATCTAAGTTGACAGAGTAATCTCTAGACCTGTACTTCCTCCTTTTATGTTCCGAATTTGGTACCGTTGTTCCATCTGCGTCATCAGAAACAACCATAGCTCCCTCAGAAATCTGTCTCTGTGGTTCTGAGTTCTGCTGGGAGAGAGAAGGTGAGGGGGAGACTGATGGGGATTCCAGTGTTGCAGATATGTCTTGTGATGGGCAAAGAGAGGAGGCTTCTGAACTGCTGGCCCAGTGCATTGAAGACCTATTAGAAGAATGTGGCAGCTTGTCAGCATAAGATGAGGCCGGGGACGACACAGTGTGGGAAAAAGATAAGGGAGAGTCCCTGGAGGAAGGGCTTGGGACCGGCGTTCCTTTTGGTGCATATGCTGAAGAGCGCTTGGTCATTGTATCTTGCTTCGTACTCCTTGGGCTGGTAGTGAGACCACGGGGACTTCTGGCTTGATAATAGCCCCCGCCTCCTTCATCCAATCTGGCCTGTTGCTGCATCACAGCAACTTTAATCAAAGAGGAAGTGCTGGGTAGTTTGGCCACCCCGGGAGAGCTGGGGCGAGGCTTGACAGCATTAACAGGAATTCTGTTCATTTTATCATTATCAAGGTGCTCAACTCGAGATCTGTCAGGAGATGGGACAACCTCCTGGTCAGGGAGGGCATCCGGACTACCTGCAATCCCATTGGTGGGTGGTGTTGAAACAGAGTTATCATATGGAGACATTTTGGAGATTTTTTCTTGCAAGTACACTCCACTGTCTCTGTGCTCTGCCCGCCGCTTGCGGCTGCTTGATTTCTCAGCTTTTGGTGAGTACGTGTTGTGAACGTCATTTCTGATTTTGACCTCAGGGACACCTTTCCCTGGCACAGAAATGTCAGAAGGAGAGGCATCGGTTCTGCAGGGATGAGAACTGCCATTGGTAGAGCCAGGAACACTTGCAGCCACAGCTGGCCCAGGTTCAATCAGCTTTTGCCAGTTCCTCAAGAGTTTCTTAGCTCGTTTAGCCAGGTCTTCATCCTTCGTCTTCTTCCTCACATCATTGATCAACTTTCCTAGTCGAGTTTCCTACGTTAAAAAACAAGCACTAGGATTAGAAACATTACTCAGATAAACAGTTTGATATAAAGCATCAGCTAAGTTCAGTCGACTGTCTTACCTCAAGTGCTTCTTTGGTGATAGGATACTTTTCAAGGCAGGCAATTACTTCCAGTACGACCACCATATTGCATATCTGCAAGAACGATATATAGAGCTTCTAAAACATTACGGTCACACAAAGTGTATATTACCCAAAAATTACTGCTGACTTAAGTAACAACAAAAGAAGCTGTTAATGAGAATTACAATCACATTTAAAATGTTCTAGAAAGGCCAATGCTGGTGACAATTCAGTGATTAGCCAAGAGCCCTGCACTAATGCTGATCGTGGAAACTCCCCAGAAATTAGACAAATTCAAGGGAACTGAATCGTGCCTGCAACGTGTTTGAGGGGCAAGTTAGCTTAGAAGTTAGCAAGGGGAGGGAGGGGGGCATTAGCTTGTCTGTCTGCTTCAAGAGCAACAAAACGACGTTGCAAAGTAAAGATGGAAGTGTCAACTCACAAAACCTTCTCCTTTGTAATCATTATAACAATAGGGTAGCATATCGACCAAAACGGGGAGCACAAATTAATTAACTTTAGGCGAGTTTCTTATCTTGTTGACAAAGTCAAGCGGAGCTCAAGTGTCTGTGAATTTGCCTGTGCTAGCCGATTTAGCCGCGGCTAGCATTTCAGCTGAGAAGGAAGGGTGGACTGTTTCAAAAAACGTAGCTTTAGCCCCTGGAGCTAAGAGTTTGCTAGCTCCCGTCCATGGCTTAGTAACACGAGATTTTTATTAAGATGAAACAGTTTAGGGTGAAAATAAATTCAGAATGGAAAAGGAATTTGGAAGGAAATTAAGCAGATAGTTTTCTTTTTAACGTATACGCAAAACCCGCTGTGGCTAAGTTAGCCGCTAGCATGCTACACGCCAGATTATGGTCTGTCCAGGGTAACGCTGGTAGCTAAATTAGCTTTCAAGCTGTCAACTCAAGTACCCTCATCTTTAATTCCAACCTAAAATACACAATAAGAAGTTTGGGCACAGGAATATAATTAAATAGGAGTTGTCGGGCGAATTCTCAAGTCGAGTTGCCCCTGAGTGCAGGGAAACAAGCTAACTTCAGCTAGATAGCCTGCTCGCTTTAGCGCACTCACATTGCTCTGACTGTCGATGGCCTGCAGCAGCCGTTCCCTCATCTGCTGCGGGGTTGCTGAGACCGTTGTCATTGCCTGTTCGGTGCGATCCGGAGGATGGAGGGAGGAATCCTCCAAAATGAAAACCGGGTGACAATGATGACTCAAAAGCCGCTTCGGGAACACGTCAGGCGTCCGTACAGCATATTTTCTGTCGCCTGTAAGGTAACGGCTCGGCTTATCTCACATGGAGTGGGGAAACGTGTGAGCTATGTTGCCCGTTTGCTGCTGCCTCCTCGGCGCTCTCGCAACTCACTACCAGCTGCAGGATCGCTCCACGGCCTCCTGCTGCATGCCGGGATACGTTGTGTGCGCTTTGACGTCTGCACGTCCTCAAGTAAACATACCTGATACACTCAGGGATGTGCACCACCGCAGGACTCCATCTACTTGTGGTTACACGGTAAACACTGTACAGCAGATCATGTAGTATGCAAACGAATTATGCACTGCCTCTGACCCCTAAATAACAAATAATGATGCTTTTATCATTATTAGATTTTGCGCTACAAATTGCTTTGTTGCGCAAAATTTAACCGCAACCACTTAGTATCATTTTTTAAAGTGTCTAAATTTTTTTGCTTTGTTTTGTTTTAAACATTAGTAACGCACTCTGTTGCCAAAGCTGCACACATTCTGTCAGGCATTCGAATAAAAGAAACATATGCGTGTTTATCGCGACGAAGTACAGTAGTTACTCGTGTCTAAAATCGATCCTTCTATATTACAGCATTTCACCAGTAGATGGAGTCCTGCAGTTTCTAAAACAACAAAGGATACGTCAAAGAGCACAGCCTGTCCCTGTCCACAGGAGCAAACCGGGACGGGCTGTGCTAGATTGATGGGGCCATCAGATATGATGCAAGAATGACTTTGCTTTAAATGTGAACCACTGAATTTGATCTGCCTGGTTAATAGGGGGGGTCAGTAATGCTTAGTTGTAAGGTGTCTCCCAAGGTGCCTAAATATCTGCAAATTCACACACTTCCTTTGGTAGACCTTTCTAGAACCAGGTCAGACCCCTTCTTACATTCAGAGTTGTGTATTTCATCATGGCACAGATTCATCAAAATTTCTGAGATTTTGATCCATATTGACATACTAGCATTACACAGTTGCTGCAGATTTGTCAACAGCACATCCGTGATGTCAGTCACCGCGGCAGAAATTCAAGACATATTAGACCAGACAGCATTTTTTTAATATGCTATTATAAAATTTGGGGGATTCTGTGTGAATCATAGCCTCAGTTTCCTGTTCTTAGCTGGGGTGGCACCCGGTGTGATCTTCTGCTGCTGTAGCCCATCTGCTTCAAGGTTTGATGTGCTGTCTGTTCAGATATGCTCTTCTGCATACTTTGGCTTCAATGAGTGGTCTTCATCCTGAAGATGGTCTGGTCATTCTCCTCTAACCTTTGACGCAAACAAGGCTTTTTAGCATTTGGGCATTTTGAAAATGTTTTTAGTTAGTCTTAATTTTTAAGTAATATTATATGAAGGGCGTGTCACAGAGACAAAATTTACCAGAATCAGTATAGGTATTATAATTTTTTTTTAAAAAAATGCACTTTTACACAGCAGTTGACTCAGTCTTGTAGACTGTTGGCAAGTTAGGGTAACAAAGCTTAACCAATAAACAAATAGGAAGGGCATTTCCTCCGTATTTAGTTTTTATTTTTAATGAACATTTTATTTCAGATCTAGTTTTAGTTTTTAGTTTAGTTTTAGTTAAGGATAATCAGCAATAAGAGGAAACACATTTAGGGTTAACTGTTGTAACCAAATAGAATTAAAACATTTAATCTCAAAAACTAATTTCTTGACAACCACAGCATAATCCAATCCACGCAAAGCCCAGAACACATTTAACACATAGAAAAGACTGTCCTCTCACCAGCAGTCTTAGCTTTAGTATCCATCCCACATAAAAAAAAGTAGAAACTCATTAAAACTGTTGGTGCGGAAAGAGTGGGAGAGGCAGGGCAACTGAAGTCCTGGAGTGGGTGAGAAAGTCTAAGTTATGCCAGTTATGGGGGCTGCAAACACCATGAAACTACTGCTGCACGTCTTTGTTTTCTAGTACTTTTTGGAGTCAAGCTAATGAGAAAAAAACACAATACGAGAAATCAAGTGTCTTGGCTTATTCAGATATATTTATTTTCATCTCATTTACAAATAATAATGCAAAGATACAAAGACAGAAGCCTTCACACGAGAAAAATACATCAGGTACATTTTAAACGGAAAGCCCCGCCCCAAATCTATAACGTCGCTCACATTTACAGCCAACTTGGATTATTTTGGTCCAATTTTAACAGTTAAAATAGAAAACGCACAATTTGAAGAACAAGGTTTGGACCAGTCGCTTTTAAAGGGTTAGCTCAAAAAGAAAAAGTACAGACCTGCCAAGCTCTGCTGCAGAATGCTAGATTTGCATATTATACGAGCATAATGTTTCCTGTTGCTGCGAGTGCACTACAGAAACATAGTGCACCTCTTCACGGCAGTAAAATGCATTTGCAGTGTGTGGAATAGTTTCACTCAACTTAAAATACATTGTAGAACGTTTTAGCTGCCATTGTGTGAGCCTTGAACCAGCACTGGGCCGTCCTCGAAATGCACTCACAGGATTCATAGCTGTGGGAGTGACCTTACATGACCGTGACTCTGTTTCATCTTCCTGATTCAGTTTGTGTTTTAACAGCTTGTGTCACAGAGCCACTATTAGTCTGACTGTACAGTATTTGTATGTGGTTTTTCTTACTCGTGTTATTTCTCATCGTGTCCATGTTATGTCTCAGTGTTTTTTTTTTCACTACAAAATACAATTTCACCACAAATTTATAAAACAAAGGCAAAACTAAATGGTTAGTTTAAAGCAAAATACAATATGTCAAGATACTTTGAAATTCGGCATCATGCAGAAAATAGATTTCTCATCTCGTGGACAGGATATAGCAGTCATTTCATTAAAGGGGACCTGTTATGCTCATTTCCAGCACCAAATTTAAAAAAACAAACAACTGCTGACTCTTCTAGAGTAGACGTGCAGGATTCACAGTACAGAATAACCCCCACGTATCTCAGAGAGGGCCCTGGTGCAGCTTCTCAGGACAGCTTTTGTTTATGCAACAGGCTGTTTTAGCTCTTTTCCCCTTAAACATACAGAAGGTTTGAACAAAAGGTGGGTGGAGTTCAGGCCTAGTAGTTGGTGCATTGTATTGTAAATTCACTTTGGACAAGTCACAAAAAAAAACCAAGCAGGCATGCAGGCGTCTGCACGGGCCTTCACGAAAGTAGCGTCACTGGGACCCAAGTGGCCCGAGTGACATAAAGTATAAGACCCACAGACACGTTTTAGAAATCAATTTCATAGTGATTTCACTTGCCAAATTATCTCTAGGCCTATCCCACTGGGGCCTTTGATGAGCATATTAAGACTATCCACTCTCAGTGACATCATACAGAGCCAAGAGTAGAAAAAAACTAAGCATTTAGGACAGGCTTTAGATTACTTCAACACACAATAAAGTAATTGCTGTGGTCTTGTTTATTATTAGTGTCTCCCATTCTAAGAGCAAATATAACTGGAAGGAGATGCATAACAGGTGCCCCTTTAATTCATGTTGTAGAAATCAGTAATTGTGTCCAACCTGAACAATGACTTTGTAGGTAAATATGAAATAATTTGAACCATAATGGGATCATTTGAGGAAAAAAAGAGGATGTTTTATAAAAGTTTTAAATTTTTTCCATTACTTATGGCTCTCTTTTTTTTTTTTTTTTTTACCTTTGGTGCAAATGTTGATTTTACTTTAAAAAGAAGGAGAAAAAAGATACAGTGCTGTAGACAAATCTGCTCTGAAGTAAAGACCAAAAGAATCTAAATAGTCTAATATGTAACAGGAAGTGGAATTCCTGCAGAATAAAAGTTTTTCAAGTAAATGAAAAGTGCTTCAAGGGCCTTGAAATGCATATGGACGAGGTCCAAACGAAATATCAGATAACTCTGAATTAATAAATAATAATATTGAAATAACTGTTCAACATTACTGATTCACTGTTTAAACCACAAAATTGTTTAGCTAATCTACACTGCAAGTGGTTCTACATGCATGTAGTCTGTTTTTCCAGATACAGTATTTAACTCAGCTGAAACATTTTAAGGTAGAGGAAAACAAACGTTGCTTTGCTGTAAACTCTTGTCTCTGTAAACACTGGTGCGATACTTGAACGTTACTGCTTAAAAAGGTGGCAGTAACAGGCGACGCATCAGTCAGCGCTTATCTACATGAGCACAAAAAGTGTTTTAAAAAAAAAAAACACAAAACAAAAAACAAACGGAAATAAAGAACCCACAAAAGATGTCAGGCTCACTATAAAGTCTGGAGGTCCAGCAGAGAATATAGAGCCACAATGACATATTGCAGCACAGTATTTCTCAGTGCATTTTCTTACTTTGACATCATATCACATAAAGCACGAAAAACATTGTTCCTACCATACAGCAATATACAAAGCTAGTCTATAGATTTACCATGACATAATCAAAACTCTGTGTGGGTGTTCCACGGGAAAATAAGCGCATACTGGATATTGCGGTATAAAACACAGTATCAAACAGCGGCTTCTACATGTGCATGAAAGGCTGATTACCACATATCTGATGCTTTTAGGCTTCACTTAGCAGTTACGTAGCCTGTACACGATGCAGAATCAAAGAGGGACAAAAGACGAGTTTAGCGAACAAGGGGGAAAAAACAACACGCTTGCTCAGACAAACAAAATCGACCTAACCCTTAAAAATAAAATGAGTTTTTAAAAAAACAAGCCATAAAGAGAAAACACTTAAGGAGATTCGTGCAGTCACAAAATTATTAAAATAGAAAAACAACCAACCCGCTTTCCCACAGTGATAACTAGAACGCAGGGTCACTGACAAACATGATGCATCTGAAATATTTTGTTTTGTTGTTGTTGTTTTTTTAAAGGAAAAAGCTTAAAAATCTAATTTTAAGATTCAATCATAGTTTTGTGTTGCATGAAAATAAATATGCCGGCACAGGGTTCCTCGACACACATCGACAGACGCGATGTTTCAGGAACATAACAGCCGAATAGTGTCCTGGGAATGAATCTATATCTATTTTACATTTTATTCTACCTGCACTGAACTGCAATATTAATTCTGCAAAATACTTTTCAGGGACTGACTCATCCCATCTGGCACAGTATTACAATAACACTTACTGCAAATGTCCAATGCACTATTTTTGTAACTTGAACCGTGGTTTGTTTGTTTTTCTTTTTTCTTTTTTTTGCTGATTAATAATTTATTACAAACGTCTTCGAGCATTGTTTGGTTTTCTTTAGTCCGACATGATGCAGTCAGAGCTGCAGCGACACGACAGACGCACCTGCGTGCAAAAAGTTTAGGAAAGAAAAATGTGTAACAGTGTAACAAAATACTCACCGACTGAGTAAAAACTCAGCTCTCTTCAATAGATTTTTTATAGAAGTTTTCAAAAAATAACTATAATTCAATTTGCTTTTTTCATTTTTCTTTTCTTTTTTTCTTCTTCTTCTTCTTTTTTTTTTTTTTACAAGAAGGCAAGTTTTATCAAAGACAGGACAGACAGGTCCAGTGCACATAACAGTCACGAGGGTAGGTGGGGACGGGGGGTTTGGTATATACACTCTGAGAAATCAGTGTTTTAAATAAATGCATAAAGTGCAATAATGAGACACGTTTCTGAATGAACTCAAAGGACTCATCTACTGAAACACGCACTGATTTCACGGAGGATTTTTAAAGCACGAAAGCATACGACTACGAGAGCGACCAGAGCGATACGGAACGAACCGATAAAGGGCACGGACAACACGAGCGCTACGAGAAAACGGATACATAGAGTTGCTGTAGTGTCAGGGAAACGAGCAAAGCAACACATAAAACTTAAAGCAGGATGTCATATCCGCTTTGGGGAAACAATATGTGTCCTTAAGGACATAAAGGCTAGTTATGAGAGGCAATGAGGATGACAGGATGGCAACAACATGGTTGTACAGATGTGACCTAAATACATTCTCTTTGTATCAACAATTCTGTTCTATTATAGAGGCAGTTCAATTGTCTGGAAAAATATACATATATATATTTCAACTACGCTGAGGTCACATCTTTGGGAGTAATCCTGTGTGCCACGCTCAGTGTGCCTTTTTTTCCCCCCACCATCTCTACACCTCACTAGTCTGAAAGAACGGAAACAGTTTCAAAAGTAACATGGCACGGTCGGCGTGCGTCCTCTAAGAATCCTGCACGTTGCCTTCCTGCGTATAAGGGTTCGATGTGTGTGTTTCATTTTACAGTCCCAAATCGATCGCTGTAGTTTTGCATAGATACCGTTACGCAAACTCTAATCACATTCTGTACATGTAAAATATAAAACAAAGCCTGTAAACATCTAGCTCGTATTCCTCATTTATCCGTTTAGGTGCGATAAATGAAGCTGATAAATGATATGGTAGTGACGACACAACGGCGGATTACGTAGGCCAAACCACCTGTAAAAAATTACTCCATCCCTAAAATGCTTCTTTGTTTTTTTCCCTCTTTCTTCCTCATCTACATAAGAGTCGTCTTTGCATGAAAACCAAAATGTAGACGCTATTAAGGCAAAACAAGTATGCACAGTGATTTGTGATTTCATGCATAAACTGATGACCGCCACTGACTATGATAAAAATCAAAATTCAGCATCCCCTAAAAATAAATGAGCTTGCAAAAGGGTGACTCATCGCCTCACCGGGGCTTCCATTACAGCTTGGGACAGAGGGAGGTTAAGCTCAACAGGTGTTTCCTCTGAGTCATCAAGCTACTCTATGTTAACAGCCGTGCGATCGCTATAGTGTGATTTATTACGGGTTTGCTCTACAGACATAGTTTAGCCAGTCATTGATGGAGAATTAGAGACCGGGCTGTTTATGCCCCCAAATTTTCATTAAGCTTCCTCGAATAAAAACCGGGTATATCATCTAAATCGCAACAGGATCCATTAATTACAAAAGGTAGTGAGAGAACCATTAAAGGGAAGCTGGCAGCAGTCTATAGAAACATTTTAAGAGCTCATTTGTGGGAGTCGATTGGGTTGGTTCGTGTGGAATTGATGCTCAGCCCAGATGAGGCCTTTGATCAGCCTGATTCTAGATACCTTCTCCTCAGAAACCCTCGGCTTTATGTAGCAAAGTTCACACACCTGTTACACCCGCTACTTTTGTTACAGCCTGTCAAGGCGAAATGCATCCTCGGTGGCGGGATCGGTGAGGACCATGTCCGGGTCATTGAGCATGTGCAGGCCATCCAGCGTCAGCGGGTCGATTTTCAGATCGTCCAGCGGGAACTGGGAGTCCACATCAAAGCTGACATCTGTGGGCAGCGAGCCAGACAGGTCCTTGGGCAGGCTGGGTGGAGACTCTCCACTCACTGTGGAAAGACAACAAGAAAAAAAAATATTGAAAAAATCAAATACTATTCATCTCACTGAGGTTTCTAAGGGAGAGAAGGAAGGCTAAAATTAGAGACAACTTCAATGAAAACAAAAGAATGCAGAGGAGTGTGGGTTGTGATTTGATAACAACTTAAGGGGACAGCTTGGCATCATAATTACATATCAAGTGTAATTACATATACAAGTGAAGCTGATTATTAGGAGGGCTAATTTTTTCAAAACTATTAAAGGCAAACCTTAAGAGGATGGTTATCTTTGAATCTACATGCAGATAAGTGTTATACCTCTGTGCAGCATGTTTAACAATGTCAGAGCTAACATTCTAGTGATTGAATGACAGTTTGGTAGCCCGCTACTTTCATACTGCTCAGAGCATAAATAATCAAGTTGGACTTTCATTTTTTTTATCCTGTGATTTATGCCCGATTTAGACTTATGTGGGAAATCTACGCGTAACTTCCGTCATAACTGCAACCACCTTTTTTATCCTTGATGTGCAACTTGTGAGAAATGTAACAACACGTCGGGTTGCGGCAGCATGCAACGACTGAATGACAAAGTGCTGTTGCTTCCATCCAGTGTGATGCATTATACCAATCCAGTAATCAACCAAATCATTGTGAAGCTTCTTCTGAAGCTTCTTCTGTTCAGTTACTGTCACAAGACCCACAAGAAAACGTGAATCACAAGTTCCTCCAGACTTGGATCTACCAGTTGTACACTTTAGAGTCTGGGTCTCTGCCTTAACAGGCCACTTGCTGCATGTCTTGAGAAGCCTTGTGAAGTGTCGAAACAGCACCTGTGAGAATGATGTTGGGGATGTTGCCATGGCTACTGTATCCAAGCTGCTGCGTGTCCTGAGGGTTGCAGTGGCCAGTCAAACCCATCATAAGAGCCTGGGAGTAACTGAGGGAGTTCTGGTTGTACAGGCTGTCAGAGCTGATGGGGGTCTCCATCATGTTGAACTGCTCCAACTGGCAATCCCAAAAGAAAGAAATAATGCAACAAGTCCTTGAAGTAGGAGAAAGGTAAATGCAGGAAAAACATGTGAAGATGATTGGTTTCTATCTGACACAGACAGAGCCTGTACCTGCTGTGAGAGCGCACTGGCTTGAATGGAAGGCAGCTGCTGGTCGTAGAAGTCTGCAAACACACTGCCCAGTATGGAGTTATGCTGCAACAACAAACAAGCAGTGATCTGTTTATTATAGATGCAGGTCAAAATTACAAGTGCGCACCATCATTATGAGCATATATATATATATATATATATATATATATGTATATTTCATCAAGGCTTCAGACATAATACATTAAACATAAAACACGGGATATACAAAACGAGACAGTCAAAGCAGCTAGAACACTGCAACATGTCACAACGTCTGGAAATGTGTGAGGTTTTTAATGTACAAATGCCCACCCAGTTTGCGTATGCCAACACATTTAGTGTTTTTATGTGAATGATGCACCATCAGTGTATTTATTTTATCTTTTGTGTTTGAAAAAGAAAAAATCTCGGAATTACAGCACCGTCTAGGCAATAAACTACCAGATGTTTTACTGGAATTTTACACATTTATGATGTAGTTTCACTGGTCTGACCCACTAACGATCAAAGTGGGCTGCATGTTTGACACCTTGGGTCTAAACAACCAGATACAAAGGCTTAGAATAATTAGCATTTTTTATATGCCTCTATAAAATGCTTATAGCTGATTTTCTTTCTTGAGGAGGCCCTCACAAGTCTTTGAGCATCTGCCATAACGTTTTGCACATTTGTGTGACATTACTGCAGCACAAACCTTCTTTTAGCACAGGTTGCATGTATTCTTATTTGCAGAATTAATTTTAATTGCACAAAAATGATTTAAAACCTGCAAAAAATAAAAGAAAAAAACAGTTGTAGTAATCTGCAGATATGTAAATAAATATATTATACGATAAAATAAATCAATAAATGGCTTAATTAATCACACGAGGCAAAATCTTTCAATATCAGCTGCCGATATCTTACAGCTCTCTGTACACATAATACACTGAAATGCAAACCTGCCAAAGGCTCCAAATCGTCTACGTAAGGACAACAAAAGGAAAGCCTTACATGAAAAAGGAGCTTCCTCTCCTGCCTTCTGGCTTCCACGTTTTAATTAAGACAACCCAAACAGGATGTAATGTGCGTTAAAATTAAGGGAATCACTGAAAATGTAATCCCCTCTGTGGCTTTATTCTCCCCTCCACCGACTCATCCAGCGCAAGCTAATTCTCTTGAAATTCCTCATTTGAATGTCCTCATCGAATCAGCAGCAGGAATTCTCCCGTTTCATTGTGGCCTCTTAATGTATAAGTAATTGGATCATATTCTCAGTCTGTGCTCCACCTAGTTCTAAACCACATTATCTGTGTGCGCTGCACAACTCCCCACGGGGCACAGCAGGATAACAAGAGAACACAGACTGTCGGTTGTGGTTTGGCCCGTGGATAACCTCGGGACTACGAGTGAGCCACTTCAGCTCTGGAAAGACCCGAGTTGGGAAAGCAAACATATAGAAATGCACACACAGCATGAATCAACTCTGTCACTCGCCACGTTCCTCTCTCTCTCTCTCCACATCTCAAACACACAAGGGCACGTTTAAAATTCAGAAACTATAACTTCAATCTTTGGACCAGTAAAGGCTTACTAGATGGCACTTTTAAAGGTGTAATTCAAGACAATATTTAAGAAAGAACACTTAGCAATAGGTGATTAAAAGATTATCAGCACTACCTTTTGCAAATCTTACATGCTTTTACTAAGTCTCACGCACATCACTGACATCCCTAATCCATGTTTACCTTGGGTGTGTTCAGTTTATCTTAATGCACTACGTTGCAAGCAAGGTTCAGTTTGCACAGCTTTTCCTGAAAAATCCTTCGAAGGGGATTAATACCTCCCTTGATGCTCACCCATTCCCCCCCATGCTGGTGCAAACCCACAATAAACACAGAGATCTGACAAACATGGGAAAGAACAAAACAAACTCCACTTCACAGTCTAATAAGCAAGACTGGGAGGGAAACGGTGGAGTTGCGATGCAAATACCACAAAAAGCAGCAGAGGAGGAGGAAGGTCGGGGACACGGCTACATCACAAAACACATCAATGATACTAAGAGTCTGCTTAAAGAGACTGGTGGTCAGATCTGGGCAAAACAAGAGCTGCTCAGGGTTCACAGTTTGTCAGTGCTTAATGCGATCATTCAGATCAGGAATAGAACTTTTTAATGCACATTTTCTATGTATATATTATTAACTTTAAGTACACACAGACAGCTTTCTCCCAGAGTATTTCCTTCACTGCGCGGTTTCACTTCCTCTTATGTCAAGCATGGAAAACACATCAGTGATTCATAAGGTTAATGATGCCTGTCGGTAGACCCCAGGATTTCCTGCTATTGCTTGTTAAATTGTCAACTAATAGAGGCTGCACTGTGTTTTATCTGCTTATTAGATACTAATAGATATTATTCTTTTTTTGGCTTATAAAACACAGAAAGTAATCATGTGTAAATACATAAATAATGACAATACAATTAACTTAAAGGGGGAAAATGCTTGTTTTGATGTTATGGGTCATGCTAAAGGGCTCGCTTTTAATTTTATTTTTTTTGCCCAGATCTGTATCAACAAGAAAAAGCTGCACGGAGTCCTACTCAGCAGAGATAACCACAGCACTACGATGCAAGGGACGGTGATGTTTATACAAAGCGAGCCAGCAGCTCGTTCTGTCCATACGCCCTTACTTGAGGCGAGCCTCCGGGTGAGAAGCCTTGATTGGAGACGGGAGAGGTTGGAGATTGATTGGCAGAGGATCCAACCCTACTGCGGTACTGTTGAAGGGACGAGGCCTGATACAAGAGGATACATTTGAGTTATTCACACTGGAGGCCGTCTTTTTGTTTCCCCCCCCCTCGTTCGTTGTGTGCAACTCTTCTCCTATTGAACAAGGAGCTTTGGTTAACCATGTCTGTGGTGTTTTTCTTGCAGGAGACTGGCCATCAGAGGAATATTGAACCTGTGCATACTTGTAGCTAATGCTGAAATGTAATAAGTATGATCACAATATGTGACGAGTGATGTGTAGATCTCACGTCAGTGGAGTAGTAGCAAAAAACAAAGAAAAGTGAAAGACTGAGTACTATAGGGGATTAATTAGTAAGAATATCGCTGGAAATTAAACCTCAGCAAGTGAATATTTTTAAAAATAGTGACCAGGGAAAACCCACTCTGCTATCTCTTGTTCTGTCCTATCATCAGATGTGTTTTATACTGTTTAACAAAATAAATAAAAAAATCTAAAAAGTACTATAAAACCTTCCAAGTAAGCAACAGATACGCCATCAAGTAATTGAGATTTATCAAATGAGGCTGATAATGTTTAATCATTTGCAAGTCAACGAGGCGTTCAAACCTTTAAACTCCTAAACTATTAAAAGATAAGTTAGCAAAATAATGGTAGCATGAGATGAGAGCGATAAAAAGGAGTTCAAGGTCTGTAGATAGAGCTATAAACCGGTGACCTGGTCAGTGGCGTCGAGTAAATCTGTTTGAACTCGCCTGAAAATGAAAGAAGGTGATGTTTTCCTTGACATTACTTGTAAAATGATCAAAACATTTCCTTATTAACGGTTTAAAAACACGAATACACGTCTAAGATCCAGATCCCAGCGAGCTTTCTCTGCGTTTTCCGTGACCTCACGCCGCACAGTCTTTTACGGAGATGAAGAGAATGTAGGCCACTTCATTTCTGCAGTAATCCAAACACATTCCCATCGCAACAGTGGAGCGAAGCAGCGAGAGCCAAGATCTGAAGGAGAAGCAGCGCCTTACAGAAACTTTCAGATTCACGGATGTTTTGCGAATCTCTTTGTGCATTTTTTACATTCTGCTTTAGTGATTTTTGGGGGGGACTTGAACTCTGCAGAGAAACAAAGAAATTCTGGGACTGCAAAATTATGGTTTTGTATCATAGTTAAAATAACAAAGAAAGAACAATTGCACTGTCACACACAGTCCTATTTTCATGTCGTTTTTTGTTTCCCCAAGCAAAACGTCTGTTACAAAACACACTCTTGGACAACTTCACGTCACAGCTGAACGTCTACGATATCAGTTCTGATTACTTCGACGTGGCAGTGTGTTCGCGAAACCCCGAGCCCAACACGTTAACGCCATCTGAAAACAGTTCTTCGGGAAAACTGGGAACCAGCCAAGGAGAACCAGTCATCGCTGGGTTGTTGTTACAACAAATCAGCAAGACACAGACTGCTCACCACGTTCATGTCGATGGTCATGTTGGTTTGCGAGGATGCCTGGTTGTCTGACGGGGAGCAGGAGTTCACCGAGGACGGCAGCTGGACCAGACCCGCCTGCTGGAAAATAAGCAGTGGACTCATAAATAGATAACTAAGCACCACTGTATAATTGTAATGCTTGCTTATCACACACGCATTATATTCATATCTTATTTTATTGCATCTTGGCAGATATGAAAACACATCAAAAGAAAAAAAAAATCATATAAAAGGCTACAAGTTGCCTTTTATATGATATTTTTAGGAGTTTAGATTTTAGAGTTTTATATGTTTTTGTTGAATTTTATTGTCAAAGTTCATGCCAAAATGTAAAAAAAAACACACACATATAAACTTTCTAGTTAAAGGTGTCTGACTTGACTATGCACATGGACTGCTGTACTGACATTCTACTATAAAATGTCTTTTTTCCCAGACCCCGAGGCAGCAGGGATATGGTTTTACTTTTGGCATCTGGTGCCTTTTACCCCTCCAAGTAAATCATTGTGTATTTTTTGTCAAAATGTTATACTTGCATCTCATCTGTTGTTCTGGGAGTTGAGACACACGAACAAAGATTTTAGTAAGTTAGCGAGATCTCTGCAGGTGTTTTGCAGTTGGCCTTGAGTTCTTTGTACCTTCTTCAAGAAAGAACGTGTATTCACACTTGCTGTGATCCCAATAGCCTCACGTCATTATCTCCTCTGTTTATTTCATTGTGGACCGATGAACGCCTAGATTCTTAGAAATGTGTCTGTAGCTTTTAAGAGGTTTGTGCAAAAGCCCTAGCGAGAAAGCTCTTGTGACTGAGTCATAGTTATCACAAGAGAAAACTCTCTATGGCTTTCTTACTGAGCACAACCTCTACAACCCACACTTCTAGTCTCATCTTCATAATTGGAACACCTGAATCCAAACAGCTTTTGGAGAAGCAATTAGCAGGGATTCACTTATTTATTTATTTTTTACAGCCTCTCTGATAATAACTCAGTATGTTGCATAAAGACGTGGAAAGCACAGTTGTTGGTGTGTTTTTATTTTTAGTCAACTGCAAAAATGAAGATCTGCTCAAAAAGTAATCCAAGTAAATGAAATAAAAGCAGACGTGACAGGAATATCAAAGGGTTTGCGAAGTTTTCTTCCAACTAACTGGTAACTGAAATCATCATAGGTTTTATTATTTATTTGGAACCTTATTAAAAAAATATGGTTATAATAATTGATTTATGAACTGCTGCTGCTATAACTCTGGTGTGGTTGGTCTCTAATTCCATCTCATTAAACATCTCAACAATAGAGAGGTGACTGAATCACAGACGAGTAAACGTAAGTAAGTCAAAGTAAGTCGAATGTTCCCATGAGAGCCAAAACGCATCATCGTCATTAAATTCCGTTTATCTATTTTTTCCCTCATTTTTCATCTTACTCACTCATTCACAATCTGGATGCTATCAATCTAATTAAAAAGCAGCAGCAGCTGCAGATAAACATTAAGTCTGAGATCTTAAAGTCTGGCTAACGTCAAAGTTTTGTAATATTCTTTTTTTTTTTAATGGGCTGTGGAACACAAAAATGCATTTTCATTTCAGTTAAACATGAACGGCTTCATGATCACAGTTTGTTAGGACACGTGTTCAGTAACATTTAACATAAAGCTATAGTTTCAAATGATTTAGTGTTCATGTGATAAACAGAGATAATATGTATGAACATTCTTAGAATGAAAAGAATGAAAACATTCATAAATCCAAAAATATTGGAAGAAGTTGGAAAGACTTGGAGATTGGGATTAGCTGTACTTGCATTAATAAACATAATCCCGAGATTGGAGGCTTAGGGAGCTGACAGACTGATGAAATAGAAGGCAGACCACAACGCCAGCGTCACAAACTGAAACACAGCAACAGGTTTGTAAAGGAATGGACTCGATCCTAATTTCCAGTGAAACTTCCTGAGGTCTATACCACGGCCACTGAAAATCCAGGACTCTGATTGGCTGGAAGACCCAGAATAACTTTTACTAAGAAAATTATTTCATCAATTCCAAAATTTAGACTTAACTTCAGATGATAATGACTCATTTACTACTACCAATAACAAACATGATCAGACGCTTCTCTGTATGTTGTACATGACATGACAAGTTCGAGAGTGTGATTCGAGTGTGAATCCACTGCAGCTACTATAGCGGACCCAAGAAATATAATTCCTTATAAGGAAGAGTTTAAAGAACGGCTGCGGCAGAAAAGAGAAAACCGGAGAGGAAATGCAACCAAAACTGTGGAGAAAATGAAAAGATGTCCACAAACCACGGGTAAAAGCGAGGGAGTGAGAGAGCAAGTGAGTCAGTGGCAGGGGGAGGGGGCAGCGATATGCAACATCTGCACTGGCAGCATGTTGTGTAGGAGAGCACATTGCTTTGTGTTGTGCTGAAAGTTTCCCTCTGACCTAAGGTGATAGACATGAGACAAGAGGAAGTGACTAGCAGTGATTTGGCTTTAGCGGCAGGCAGAAAGCAAGTTAAACTACTCTCAACTCTGAGGTGATTGTTTGAAGTAACTAACAACAGGGCAGGGCGACCAACTGTCAGCTGTAAAGCGGCAGACAGTGAGCGAATTGCTTCATATGCAGATGGACTAATGCTTAGCGATCCTCTGGATGTTTAAAACGGGTAAATGAAAACAAAAGGAGCCACACGTCTGAGTTAAACAACTGCTGTTGACTCATTCATTGATTTTTTTTGGCAAGTGGTCATAATACTATATAAAACTGGATGTTCGTACATATGAATGAGATGAAGTTTATTATGTTTTGAGCTGTGGCTTTGGATAGAGACTCACTTGCTGGTTTGGGTGTGTCTGGGACGACGGCTGCTGGCTGAAGAAGGCGTACTGGGACAGCTGCTGCTCCAGGTTCATGGCATTAATGGCTGCCTGTTGGGAGCACAGCACTTTATATGACAGAAACCTCAAAAAGCATTCATTTCAGTATTTGTAGCCTGCCTACAAATACTGACACTGTTTCTATGTCTATTAATGTACAACGCTTTCCTCTTGAGTACCTGGGAGAGAGTGAGAGGTGGAGTTGTTGGGGAGAGCTGCAGGTTCTGGTGCTGGTGGGAGTCTCCCGCGTTCAGGATGAGAGGAATCACATTATCCTGCCCGGCCTGGATTTCCATGGCTACTGTGGGTTGAGACGTGTTCACTCCTACCCAGCACAAGAAAACAGTTTCCTTAAAGACCCAACTTGGCACGAAACAAGTGGCAAATGCTGAAATCCAAGATCCTTCATATCCTGCACATAACTTTAAGATATGTCCAGAGAGAACAGAGCAGAGAGTGCTTATTATCACCTTGTGTGTTACCCAGAGCCTGTGTGCTGCTCTGGGAGCCGAATGAGGCGGCAGCTGGGTCGTCGTGGTCGAGGGGGGTGGGCAGCGGAGGAGGGAACTGGATGTTGGTCAGATCGGGAAGAGAACCGCCAGTGTTGTGGGCTGCTGGTTTTATCGAAGCGGTCAGCTGCTGTTCTGGAGATGGGAAAATGCTGCAGAAAAACAGATGGGTGCCGTAAACTCTCCAGTGATGACATGCTCGATATACTCGGTGATGAAATAGCAGAACCGCCAACACCAGTAGCTTATTCAGATTACTTGGAAATGTCTCCCGAGGCAAACAAGTCCAGAGATATTTGGACTTCATGCGTTTGGCCCAGGGTATTTTTGCAAATCTTTTGGCTCCACACTCTCATTCCTTTGGCAGTTGAGCGAGTCAAAATGAAAATGTTGAACTACAGTCAGATGCTTTCAGTTCAAAACTACGCTTTATTCACACCCATTCATCAGATTTGTGTACACACGTACCTAGCCGAAGCTTCCTTTCTGGATTTGAACACTATATCGTAACAGTGAGACCAAAGTGCCCCCCAAAAATATTTACACTGAAACATAATTTCATTGTGTTACTCAGACTATAGAGGAAGGTATCCTTAGACAACCTAAGACAGTAAAACTCACTGGATTCCAGGAACTTTGCAGGGCTCGGATCTTGAAATGTTCTAAAGTGGGAGAAAAAAAAACAACTAGTGTATCAGGAAGACCAGTGAGATACTCAAGTGAAAAACATTTTGTGTGAAGATTTACTTTTTTGCTGTCCCAGTTATGTTTCTGTCCATCTTCATCCACCTCTTGTTTAATTGCTTCAGACCCCGGTACGGTGAGTAGGAGGACTGGAGAGAGAGAGAGAGAGAGATGGAGAAATTAAAAAATAAATCTCCTCAATCTCTCGGATCTACAGATGTCCCGCCTGTTGAAGCTCATAATAACTGCCTTCATTTAATCAGATCAAGTGAGTAAGTGCAGTCGTTAATGTATGTAGCGTCAAGTTGCAACATATATATACATACATTTATATATATCCAAGCACTATTGCATTGTAAGGTACAAAATGATAACAAGGTACCCAGCAATTCCCTTTGAGTGAGCACTTGGTGACAGTGGGAAGAAAAAGGTTCCTTTAAAAAGTGGAAAAACAAAAACAAAAAAAGAAAGTAGCCAAGAAGTGTGACATTAGTAAAAGAAAAAAGAATTCTGAATGCAAATAATGGGTAAAAGCACAAACACTTCTCCAAGATGATACATACAAATTCAACCAAAGTGCTTCTAAAATTGACATAATTCCCCTCACATGGCCATTAGGAGCGAAATTCGCATGGTACTTGAATGCGCACCATCTGCACAGCAATCAATTTTCCTCCTCTTGCCTTCAAAGCCGCATTCAAACCCTTTCATCATACACTGGAGGGCGCTTCCACTGAGTCGTCAGGAGAAAGCAACAAAATACCACAAAAACTAAACAGGATCACAAAAAAAACCAAAAATCAAATAACACTGAATACTGCAGATAATGCAAAAAAAACACTAATTTAAAAAGCACAAATAGACTAATTCAAGGCAGAGCTAAAAGCTCATTTCATGCAGGGTGTCTGTATGAAGTGAGCTGACACACACCACACTAACGAACATGTTTCTCACACTACATGACGACAACATCTTTGAAATCTTGTGTACCTCGTTTTGGCTGCAGCTCCTGTGATCCTCCAGTGAAGGAGGCCTGCTGGGCAGGAGTTAGTGTGCTCTGATGCAGTGCTGAGTCAGAGTTTGTCCTGCAGCACAAGAAATTTAAACTCACATAAGGCGATCTATAGACAAAATCTACCCGAATAGCACAAAAAAGTACATAGTGGGCAACTACAGCACTGCGCGACAACAACATTACGTGCGGCAGTCAGTTTTTTTTAAATGTTTAACACTAGAATAAGGACACTGGAATAGTTTGAAGTGTAAATATAAACATTTCAATAATTTTTCTCAATGGCAGAAATCTGTGAAAGTCATTAAATATGTGTCAATGCAGAAGGATTTCACAGTCAGAGTGTTAGCCTCGTGGGTCTTTCCACTCTGAATGTGTCTTACGTTATTATCTGAACACGTTTCTTCATGACAGGTGAAAATAAAAATGCATTTAGTTGCAAGAAGGCCATGCCGAGACATTGTGTCATTATCAGAGACCGTCTTACCTCCTCCAACTAGTATCAGGTGGCGGCGAGAGATATACTGAGCCATATGGACAGCTGTCAATGTGACACCGCAGGTTAAGAAATAACAGCTGGAGAATGAAAGCCTTGGCAGAATCAGTGTACTCTCTTCTGTGAATTCAAAAAATAAATGAATAAAAAAAAGCACTGTGCTTGGTGATCTTCTACAATACAGGGTACACTTTCATTACCTACAGGCCGAAGTCTTTTACAAAAATGCCCACAAACAGTTTGATTAAGATCTAAAAATCTGAAATCAAGAAGCACTTCCACTTCAAAAGCTGGCTGAATACAACAGCATTATTAATGAAAAGGTGTTAATAATTGCTTGTTCTGCACTGTGTATTTTCCAATAATGCTACCATGAAGGAGCATTTAAACACAAATGTATATTTTATGCATATATTAAGCTTTAAAAAACAATAATACAGTTTAAAGATTTGCATTGACTTCTGCTGGAGAATGATGAGAGCCCGCAGGTGGTTTCACTTATACTGTGTGATTAGTCCTGTTCTCAGAACTGTGTGGGTGTGTGCAGACTATGGTTTATTAACATCTCCACGATGCTAATGCTCAGCTGTTGACACCATGTTATTCCCAGCCAAACTCCTCCCACTGAATATTTATCATAATGCATGAGATCTCTGTCTGTCTGTGCGTTGGTTTCTTTGTCCACCAACTCCTCCGAGACCATTAGAAGATGAGCAACCAAACCTGTGCACACAAGTTCATCTTAGGCCCCGGAAGGTTCTTATCTATATCAGATACTGCGGCATCATCGCATTGCCTAGCAACCACCTAGCAACAGTTTAAAAGGATCCATTTTTTAGCACTTATGCACCTTATAAAAGCACTGTATCGTTTGTATTTCACAACAGTAACATTTAATTTGTATTCGCAAAAGCTAAATTATGCATGACACATTATGATGGCATCGTGTTGCCCTGCAACCACGTAGCGACAGGCTAAAATGACCTGTTTTTAGGCTTCGTGCACCTACAGCAGTTTATGAGAGATTCCTATCGTTTTTCATTTCAAAGCTACTTCTCATTTGAATCCACAAAAAAGCTGAAATATTCATGCCTAGTAAGCACCCAGGAATGGGTTAAACTGACCCATTTTTAGGATATAAACATGTTTGTTTGTTTTTTCTCAGTGTGATTAAGTATATCAGGCTTCCAACAGCATGAAGAGGCCAAAAAAAAAATACTGTAGCATGGGGCATGCATTGGTAGGATAACATCTGTGTAAATTCCTAATAATCTGCAGAAATGCCACTCTACTGCTCCTAAAGAAAAATTTGACCGAGTGAAGTTTTGACCAAGCACTCTGATTTAAACTGATGCTCAGAAACCAGATAAAAACCAACATTAAACAACACTTCACCCAACAGGCAGCATAAAAGGATATCTGTCGTCCGTGTTTGTCAACAGACAGGGGTTTCCGGTGGGGCGATGTGATGCGGTTCCGATCGCGGTAGACTCTTTCCACCAATCCGTGGTGTCGCGTCGACCTGTTCATGTCGAGCCCTGAATTCTGACAAATAAAGACAAGGAAAAAAAATGCGTAATGAACTGGGCAAATTGCAAACATCACCTTTCAGCTCCTCACCAGCCTGCTGATTAGAGCTGAATGTGTAACAATAACAAGAGAGTTTTTGAGGTCATTAATCTACAAAAAGCACTGCGGCAGCCACGGTAGTCAGCACTTTACCTCGGTTACACTGCTCTTGGCCAGCAGAGAATAAACACTTCCTATGAGCATGTAGCACAGGAATGAAAGGTAAAGTGGTCCGGGGTGAAAAGGATGACGGAAGACTGGAAAAAGAAAATCTGAAATGTGTGCATTATGTTCTACGCGTGTTCTTCAACTTGTTTGTTTGTTGTTTTTTGTGGGTTGTTATTTCAATGGCAAAGACAATTAAAACTACGAAACTGCATTACATTTTCCTTTTTTTTAAGGTTGGTATCTTGTTCCATTTGTCTGATAGGAAAGCTATTGCGTGGAAATTTCAAGGACAAGGGCTTTTTAGCCCACATGACAGATGTTTTCTGTCTTGCTGTGCAGCTTCAGTGCCTTTCAAGCAAAATACTGTTTCCATCACTGGCTAAGAGAATGACACATGGAGCAGCTCTTCTTTCTCATATACACAGACTGACACACTAAGCAACACAGCAGTCACGTTGCAGAAAGCACTGAACGCAATGATTTTTTCTTTTTTTTTTCCCAAAATAAAATGAAACTTATTATTCAGAACAAATTACACACAACCTCCTGACCCTTTTTCCCTTCAATTTCTAACATTCATTATTATGCAATATCAGTTTTAAGGCTTTCACTGAAGACTGACATTTCTTTTATGTTTCTTTCGACAATTAATGCAAATCCTTTCCTGCCACCTTTGAAGCTGCTCCTGAAAACAATTTAAAGCAATAAAAAAACTTCTGCTTCTGTTCACGTTGTTGCCGAGTGCACTGAACCCCAACATGAAGCTATGGCTCCCTGCACATAAAACACACAATTCAAATTTGGTGTGACAGACGTGGCTTCAAGAACGTTCTTATTACGCTGCGGCAGCAACACATAAACTTCAAAGTTATTGCAGGACTGTGTACACAGTGTTTATTGGACAGAGCCTGCGCCGAGCCACGCTACAACCGTATACAAACCTAATGTAGGCTGTGGCCTTGGATACTTGCACTGCCTTCTACTCTTTACTCTAAATAAAGCATTATTTTTGTTCATATACTGCTTACATAAGTGACTCACACAAAGTATGTGACTTCCTGTAGAAGAATATTTAGTCCAGGGAAAAAGAACCTCGCGATGTCTAAAAAAAGCGACCAGTCAATACTGCAGGATATTACTTACCCATAGGGATTGGGAAAAAATGGGGGTATTTATTTATTTATATCACACAATATATTTTTGCAGTTAAGACCACAGATTTAATTGACCTACACCAGGTATATTTTAGTTGTAAATGTGAAAGGCAAAGGAAAGATAAGCAATCCTGTACCTGAAAAGGCACGTCGATCGTGCTGTTTCCAATCTGATTGACGTTTGGCAAGGATCCTCCATAGTACTGCCCACGGTTCTGCCCCAGCTGCAAATACTTGGTCTTCTGCAACTGCAACTGCAAGCAGAACAACATCAGGTAAATCAGCAGGCATTTATGGGAAATTTAGAAAAGAAGTAAAAGGGTTTCTCGCTCGCATTAAGTCCACGCTCCAGTTACAGCGATGTAATAAATTAGCTATTAACACCCCACACGCCTAAAAACCAAAGACCAGGTTTTTGTTAATAACGAGAGCTGAATACGATGTCCTGCTAGAACATTTTCTTTTTAAGTTGCATGATTGTTTAATTTACATTAAAGGACTGTTTGCAGATTTTTCTTAAATTTTTTGAAGTGCTAAAAGTGAGATTTGCTGATTTTAGCAGTAAGGGAAAGGAAGATCGAAGTGATGGAAACTAAAAGCTGTTTAATTTTGTGACAAATTTTGTTGCAAGCTCTAACGTTTACAGCTAATTTAGTGTCAAATTTAACGGTTTCTTTTTTATTTAATGTGAATAGATTATATGAATGCCAAGGTGCAAGCAAAGCAGTATAGATATAATTCAGTATCACTGAATGTGCCTGTCTTCATTTCAAAAGAAAACCCTCCAAACTGTCACTCCAGTGTTTATTTCAAAACAGCCTCCTTTTCCACGTCCAATCAGAGAACCTGTGACCAGTCAATTAAATTGTCTCATGCAAGCCCACTGCTTACTGTTGGCATGGCAGAAAATCTAATAATAACAATTACTATGCCTGCATCAGTGGTGTGTTTTGATAAGCCTCCAACCTCAGAGTATACTTTAGCTACACGAACGCAGTCTCTGATGCAACGGATTAGATACTGTAACAACAGAATAGGGAGTCTGGGTCACTTTAATCACAAGAAGCCATGTACGGAGAGAAGCACAAAAGAAAAATCAGAGTGAGAGTTGAGCATAAAGGGAGGCAACAGTGTGAAAGGGTGAAACTCTAAACCCGAGGCATCCTTCCAGCATGTCTAACTCTGGCTCAAACAAGAGCTACCTAATGTTTGTCTTTCCCTTAATGACGGGAAAAGTGCATCCTTTCACCAGTTTCACTGTCCCATCTCGCAGTTTTGAAGAAAGCAATCCAGCTTCGCTCTGTTTAATGGGTTTGCTCATACTCCACCTCTCCACTGGGTTTTAATTATAGTCAGCTTTGAGGTTTTTGCATAATCTTACTGACAGCCAAAAACACACAAACGACTGATTGCATACTTAATGAAATCTAGATAAAAAAAACATAAGGCCACAGACCTCCACTCAAAGGGGACCAACCTGTCTAGACATATCGTCTACAAATATGGACCTCTAATAATAAAGTCATAACTCTGATGCAACTTGTTCTATTAGTTTCCAGATAAGGACGTGTTTAAAGGTGAAGCATAGGGAGGCCATTTTTCTTAACATGTATTCCCAAACTGATGATTTTTGGTTATTTGGTTACATGTACATGTTCCATGTAACTATGTTGCATAAGGCAGTTCGTCTTGTAACCGGAAGGTTGCCGGTTCGAGCCCCGGCTCGGACAGTCTCGGTCGTTGTGTCCTTGGGCGAGACACTTCACCTGCCGCCTACTGGTGATGGCCAGAGGGGCCGATGGCGCGATATGGGAGCCTCACTTCTGTCAGTCTGCCCCAGTGCAGCTGTGGCTACAACTGTAGCTGCCTCCACCAGTGTGTGAATGTGAGAGTGAATGAATAGTGGAATCGTAAAGCACTTTGAGGGCCCCGAAAAGCACTATATAAATGCAATCCATTATTATTATTATTATTATTATTATTATTATTATTATTATTATTATTATTATAAGTGCAATGTAAAATGTTACATTTAAGTTACTTGTTCAAATGAAATGTACTTGATTGGTATATATTCAGTTTATACCAAGCGATTTTTGTGTGTGCTCTCACTGGCCACTTCTTTAAGATACACCTCCTCAATGTCTTGTTCATGCAAATATCTAATCAGCCAGTCACAATGCAGCAACTCAGTGCATTTATGCATGTAGACCTGTCAAGTCAAGATGCTTAAGTTCAAACCAAATAGAGAAGAAAGGTTATTTAAGTGATTTTGAACGTAGTATGGTTGTCAGGACCAAGTGAGCTGGTATTTCAGTATTTCAGAAACTGGGATTTTCTAAACACCTCTAGGGTTCACAGAATATGGTCTGAAAAAGAGAAAACATCCAGTGAGCTTTGTTGATGTCAAAGATCAGTGGAGAAAGGCGAGACTGGTTCTAGCTGATAGGAAGATACAATAACCCCGAAAAAAACGTTCATTAAAACCAAAGCATGCAGAAGAAGAAGCATCTCTGAATGCACAACATCTTTGAATCTTGAAGCAGATAGGCTACAGCAGCAGAAGACCACACTAGGTGCCAATCCTGTCAGCTAAGAACAGGAAACTGCAGTTAAAAAAAATCACACAGAGGATTTAAGGCACTTCTTAATGGGCCAACCCATCACTAGTAAGGTGTACCTAACAAAGTGTCGGGTGAGCGCTTATTTCTAATTTTTTTTTTTAAAAGCAATGCACATGTTTAGAAGTTTTGCACTGCAGTCTGCCATTGCTGTGTGACTGTGAACCAGCATCCACGATATCTACTGTTACATGATACTTCTGCTTTTCTGATTCTAGAAAGACCTTTAAGTTGCTCTTTATCATTTCTTAGCAGACACACAAACACACAGATTCAGAGAAACAGAGCTTAGATAGGATAGTGGTTGATGCTTGCAATGATGTTAAGTCCATCATATTTCCACTCAGTAGCGGTTTCCACTGAAGCCCTGCCTCCATAGGATTTATTCTGGAGGCCTGTGCTGTATGTGGCTTAAATTCCACATAATCTGCTGGCCTTCATCTTTGCCGTAAATGTCACTCATGTTGCAGTGCACACAGGCCTGAGGACCCGTCAGACAAGTTCACCGCGGTTTATAGGCACACAAACACACACACACCTTAACATTTATCCCTATATGCACCACGATTTTCTGATTCATTTTTTATGTCAATCTCTACGCTCACGGATCATATCATATGCCTTAGGTTAATCGCTTCGTATCTAAGCCCACGAGATGAAGGGGAAATCACGGTGCTGGACGCGCGCTGTCAAACACGGATGCACGCCCCTTTGCTTTACACTTGCGTGGGACAAAAATTGTAGCCAATAACTTTTAGGAAAGATGGTCCCCGCAGTACGCATCTACATTTGAGGACCGACACATCGTGTCGGCTCAGCTGGCCGTCCACCGACAGGAGAAAATCGGCCACAGCTGGCAGGAAGCGTCGTTTGTTATTGTTTACCTGTTCTGCGTGCAGCCGCGGCGCTACAAATGCCTATTTGACAGCTCGCTGAAAACAAACGGAGCGCAGACAGGAGGGAGGGAAGGAAAAGGCAAGAACCGGTGTCGTTACCCTCGCTGCTCGGGTTATGCTCAGGTCTTTCATCACTTCTTCAAACGCCGCCGTTTCCTCCGCCTGCTTCTGGTTATGTAAAGCGATTTTCTCGCTGAATTTTCGCGGATTGTTCGAAGTCGCCATGTTTCGCTCTTCTGCTCCGTTTTCCTTCAATGGTCAGCGTCAAGTAACACGGAGGGAGGACGCACAGCTTCCGGTTAGAGAGGCGGACACAACGCAGAGCGTAAAAACGGAATACTCAAAAAAAGGGCAACGTTTACCTGCTTTTCCTTTATCCTGAATGAAAAGTCTTTAAACTTATTTTTAAAAAGGTTTTTACAGTGTCGTGCAGGCCAAGTGGGCTTCCCATATTTGAATTTACTGACCACAGGTGATACCTACAGTCTACAGCTAAAACAGTCTGTGGACTGACTCTAACTAAAACAACAGGAGCCAGTGTGTGACTTATTACAGGAAGGCCACATGTGCAGGATCCCGTGAAGCCTCTCCAGCGTGCTAATAAAGCGCTGCGTGATCCTGCTGACACTTATTAAACATGTTACTGTGTGGGGAATGACGTCCGCACCGGGATCTGGGACTACCTAAATCAAATACAGCCATTTTTAGTGTTAAAAGCTTCAAAGACCCTAAAACCGTCGTTACTAACCTGCCGAGGCAAGAAAGGGACGGCATGTGAGCCTAAAATCAACTTCCGGCCACCGTGTTTTTATCTCATTATCTGTTAAGTCGTGCAGGCAGATAACCGAACAAACATTTACTTTTACTTGATTAAAACCAAACGGTTTACACATCTTTTATTATGAAATCTGCTGGTTTCCGGTGTACTCGGGGAAGAGAACGGCAAACTTGACGCTTCTCCCTAGGTAGGCTTTGCGTGGTCACGTCGCTGCGCGGGGGTGTTGTGGAGGCGCACCGCACATCTGGACTGCGGAACCCCCGCAAAAATACACTATTTAAGAAGACATCATTGTGTGCGTGTCCCTTTATATTTCTGAGGACAGTGTAATCTACAGAATTATTATTATTATTATTATTATTATTATTATTATTATTATTATTATTATTATTATTATTATTATTATTATG